AGTAGACATCAACCCAAGAATAGATGTTGCCTGAAACAGAAGCTCCCTCACCTGATGCTTTCACTGAATACCTGTATATGAAGCCATATGGACAAAGACCTACCACGGTAGCCACCCAGAGCAGAACCTCCAGAGTGCTGCGAGAGGCCGAAGGCTCGCTCTCACCCCCAGCAGAGGCTTTACTCTCATCCTAGAGCCCTGGCTTCTTGGAAGCCACCAGCAGGCCCTGGTTTAGGGAGCGTGTTAGGAGGGCTACAAAGGGCGCCACCAGGGGCCTGGGCCTGGTTTTCTTCAGCAAGTCTATTCCAAGCAAAGGGCATCAGGGCTGGAAAGGAGGACAAAGCCTAGTTCTAGGGGCTGCTCTTACATGTAATTTTGCATAACAATGAGGGTCTCCTACCATCTTCTGTGCAATTCCCCTTCTCTCTCCCATTCCCATGCACCTCTCGTCCCTATTTAATGGTAATCTTCTTCTCATGCTCTTCCTCCCTGCTCTGTTTTGAGTCACCCCCCTTATATCAGAGAAGACATTCGGCATTTGTTTTTAGGGATTGGCTAGCTTCACTTAGCCTAATCTGCTCTAATGCCATCCATTTCCCTGCAAATGCCATGATTTTGTTGTTTTTTAGTGCTGAGTAATATTCCATTGTGTATAAATGCCACTTTTTTTTTTTATCCATTCATCTATTGAAGGGCATCTGGGTTGGTTCCACAGTCTAGCTATTGTGAATTGTGCTGCTAAGAACATTGATGTAGCTGTGTCCCTGTTGTATGCTCTTTTTAGGTCTTTTGGGTATAGTCCGAGAAGGGGAATAGCTGGGTCAAATGGTGGTTCCATTCCCAGCTTTCCAAGGAATCTCCTACTGCTTTCCAAATCGGCTGAACCAATTTGCAGTCCCACCAGCAATGTAGAAGTGTATCCTTTTCCCCACATCCTCGCCAGCACTTGTTATTGTTTGACTTCATTATGGCTGTCATTTTTACTGGAGTGAGATGGTATCTCAGAGTGGTTTAATTTGCATTTCTCTGATTGCTAGGGATGGTGAGCATTTTTTCGTGTATTTGTTGATTTGATTGCCATTTTTTTTTAACAGAGTAATATGAGGAACAGTGCTCGGAAGCCTTAATAGCAAATAAATACTTTAAAAATATCTCTTAAATATGAGCTATGTGCCCTAGCAATGTACTAGGCAGTGAGAGTTGAGATGAAGGAAACGAGGGCAAATAAACAAACATAAGACTATTTGTTATCTTTAGAAAATTTACTGAAATTGCTTGAAAATGTTAAAATTCTTTCTTCTGATCCTCCTCCTAAGAATCTCAGTGCTAATCTATATGACAATCTCTTTGATTAGAGCAATGCTTTTCCTGGGTGTTTCCAGTAGGAATCTGGGACATTGTTCTTCCCATGTGACATGATCCTTCCAGGAGCATGTTTAATGCCATATGAACCCATTCTTCTAGCTTGGACTGATACTACCTGGAGTGGATTCCTTAAATGAGGGCTGACAATCGACAAGTCAGCACTAAGATAAGTCTCTTATATCTGGGCCTTCCTGAAAAGTGAATTCAAGCTAATGATATTTTTTACTATAGTGAATATGAACCCGGAAGCTTAACACAATGAGTAAAAATCAAAGCTTAAAAGTCCTGAAAGGATGTCAAGGAGCAGTAGGCATAATGTAATGTGTAATGTGAAGCTGTGAGAAAAAGATGGTGAAACTTATTAGAAAAGACAACAAACTTTCAATGAGATGTCACTAGAGAAAGACCAAATAGATAAGAGGACAAGAGAGAAAAAAGTCCTATTATTTACATTTAGCTCAAATCCCAATAACTCCAGATAGTGTCAATGTGAATTTTTATAGTAATTATTATTCTATCCATCATTTAAGGTACCTTGAAAAAAAATCCCTGTTCCTGTTAACATAAACACAATTAAATTGGTACTGTGAATTTTATAGACCTTTTATCACATATGGAATCTCATCATTATTTCCAGCTTTCATAATGAGAAAACAGGCAAATGGAGTCTAGATGAGTATGTAAAATATGTTGACCAATGATTAAAACATATGTCTCTTGAATTCTTGCCAATTCTTTTTAGGGATGGGCATGTAATTGAAATATATACCTGTGACAATTTTAATGTATGAATAAAACTCATTCACTTCCCTCTTCTCTCTTTGTAGTTATACAGGTAATGCTAAACAAATTTATAATGGAATAAAAGTATAACTTGTTCTCTAAGATAATGCATGATTTTATTCTAAATGATTAATAACCCTGCATTAGCAATGTGGGTAGATCTTAGAAAAAAAAACAGGAATTCAAACTGCATTAAGAAACAATCTATATCTGAGCACCATGATTAATTGAAAAACAGGTAGCTACTTACAAATGGAGATATTTGTTGTTTATTTGATGAAGATTTTCAGAATCTCCATTCTAACTTTAATCTGCCTGTTCAACTAATGGGACACCCTCCACATTTTTTGACTTTGTATTAAATTGTTTATTGAGCATATGTATTCTCTAGTTGTCTAGGATGAACACTGAGCCAGATTTGTTGATACCCATAACTTCACAGTTTGTTACATGATGCCATGCATAAATATAAGTTGAGAGACAAAGTAGTTCCATGAATTATAATGTCTGTATTAGAATAATATAGCATGTTGGATATTATCAGAATTAAAGATCTTTGCTGTTATGTATCAATGTAAAACTTCACCTATAACACTTAGAAGTATTCTAGACTTTACATTTTTGAGAATATAAGTTCTATGAAGCCAGGGACCTTTGTCTGTTATGCTTATGTTGTATGCCTAGAACTTAGAGAACACCTAAAGCATGGTAGGCACTCAATACAATTGTTGAGAAAGCACTGGGTTTATCTAAAAAATACATTGCCTTTATTTACATGTATATATATATATATATATATATATATATATTTTAACTCATTCATGCTGTGGTATATACAGATGTACAGATGGGTTCTGTTGGGCTGGCACCTCTTGCTATCTAACATATAGACATGGTCTGCTTCATAAATGAAAGCAGGGCCTGGAATTTAGCTCAGTGGTAGAGTGCCTATGTAGTGAGGCTGTGGGTTCCATCCCAAGAGCAGCAAAAAAAACAAAAACAAAAACCAACGAAACTAAGCATAAAGCTTTCGGTGTTTGCCAAGATGCTCTTTCCTAGGCAGATTCCTGGTAGAAGAAGTGATAGAATTATTGTCAATATTAGCAAGGTACCTACATTTAAATCCAGTTGGAAATATGTCATAACATTAATTTATAAATAAAAATAGGAGAGGTAAAGGAAGAGAGGGACACTATGATTTTACCTATAATTATACATCCATAGCTTTCAGATTGTATAATACTTTATGAGATTATACACCTCAAAATATTTCCCTAAAATATATATATATATATATATATTTTTATTATCAACTCTGGATGGTTGGAAGGAAAAATAAGATGCAGGGTAATTATAGGTAAAATGCAAAATTAACATAAAATGTAAGAAAGTCGATTCCCTTTCACTTAAATTCATATTTATGATCACATTAACTAATTTTGTGATCTGATCCTTTTAAATAAAATTTGAGAATTATCAAATGTATCCATTGCTAGTATGCTTTCATTAAAACTAGACAATGACAAAGGTCATTATAATTTCTTCAGCTACAGATAACCAAACTCAACACATTAGAATTTGGTCTTTCCAGAAAAAATGTTCCTTTCCCCAGGCATCTATCATTTTAGCAATTGATAAGTATTGTAGTATAATCATCTTTAAATGAGCACTCAAAAAATGTTAGGCAAATAAGCTATTAAGGGTAGAAGCTTTCTCAGCCGAAACAAATCCTAGCACTTTAGGATAAAGAAAAAGAAAGGATCTTAAAATCAGTCCAATCTGAGACATATACATTCAAGGTTCACCAAGCTCTATGTTATGCTGTCTAGATTTACAGTAAGCTATTTGACTTGGATTTAAAGTTCCCTCAGAACAGAGTATGGGTAGAATTCCCTGATGATAAAGTTATTGCAACTTGAACTTCACCTGGAAGGACTTTCTATATTGTGTTGCCACTGCTTAATATTAACACCACCGCTCCTTCCACAGAGGAGCTGACAAACAACTACAGAAAAGGAAAAGACTGAATAGCTCCATTTATCTTGTGCTACCAGCACATTGTTGCAATGCAATGATAAATGGACACCAATAAATCTGTTATGGACAAAGAGCCCTGGCATATGTGTGTATTTTCTGTTCTTCTTTGAATGATGAGAGGGAGAAGCAATAGAATTGACAACAACGGAACAGACCCATACACATTCACACACATACAGAACTCTGACCCAAGCCAGGAAATGATAGCCACAAAACTGTTGTTCTTATAAGGCATATCGATCATTTCTGCCAATCAATCTTTTTGTCACATAAATGTCTTTGTTGCTGAAAGAAACAATGTTCAAAGCTAATCTGCAGGAAGGCAGTTTATGCGCCTGAGCTCTAAAATAACTCTCTAATTTGAAGACACTATTAGGCACTAAAGCAAAAATGCAGTTTGCTATTAGAATTCTTTTAAATTTCTGTATATAAGCTTACATGCTATTGGATAAAAAGAGATGAAACAATAAAACCATGATCTACACAAGAAGTTTCTGGTGGCATTATGTAATAACATTATAAAAGAAATTCCATGTTATCGTAAATATTAATTCTGATTCCAATCATAAAATTTGTGTTCTTCCCATAAAGGAAGGAAACATGTCACTTTCCCCAATTTAGCAACTAGGCTGAAAATATCATTCATGACAGCAAAAGTGAACGAAAGTTCCAGAACTCAGTTTTCAAGAGAATAGGATCCACAAAAAATGAACTGAAAGCATTACAATACATTACTATTGTCTGGATTTCTGTGAAATGAATTTGAGGCAATCAAAGCTTATGGGAGTTAATCTATGACATCTCTGTACTCATAGTGCCTCTGACTGTGCTGGACTGAATGAAGAGCAAAGATTCTAACAACAGCAGAGACAACTGACTATTGGCAAGAGCACTACACACAAGGTATTCATCTGGAAATTCACAAATGTTATAGCACCTACAGAATTTTGCTTAGATGAAACCCTTTGTATTCTTCTGTTTTAGCCATCTAGAAAAATCCGTAATGCCTCATATATTCACTGTGCTTAGTCAGTAAAAGATGTGTAACACTTCCAGAAAAATCTATCATTGCATGAATACTTATATCAATATTGTTCTGTACACTCCCTCTTCTAACTTTATTCCTAATCTCCTTCTTTTTTTTTTTTTTTGAAAATGCTATGCTATTAGGAACTCTTACAATAACATTAGCAAATTTCCTTAAAAAAAAAAAGGAAAAAAAATCAAGTATCTGACTGTCTCTTCATTTTCATGGGGGAACTAGTACTCCATGTTTTCCTAATAACATAGACTTTCCCAGATCTCCCTCAATTAAAAAAAATGTATCTATTTTCTAACTAATATAATGCAGAAATTAAGCTGATTAAGAATCTCCCTTGTTTCTCATTTCATATTTCTCACTGTGTGCTTCAAACACTGCAGAAGAGGTGTCCCCAGATGGATCACCTTGCAAAGACATACATATTAAATAGATAGCAAAATGCACATGTGCAACAAACACACGAATAAATGCTCATACATCATTTTAATAAAAGTAGATGCTATGGTCTGAGTATCTGTAGCCTCCCAGAATTCATAGGTTGAAACTTAATCATCAGTGTGAGAGTATTTGGAGATGGCCTTAGGAAACGATGAGGTCATGAAGAATCCACCAGTGTGATTAGTGTCCTTATAAATGACCTCCATACAGTTTCCAGCATATCAGGTTATGAAGAAACAACAACAGACCATGAACAAGAAAGATAGCCCTCCCTGCATAAATAATCTAGCAACAACTTGACATTGAACTTCCCAGGATCCAGAGCTGTGCAAAATAAATTTCTGTTTTTTATAAGGCATCCAGTCTATGTTAGTTTGTTATTAGAGTTAATCCAAACTACAACACTAGGTAACGTGTCACAAATGTTAGTATTTCATATTTTTTGTAATTCAATAATATACCATTGGGTATATTTAACTAATTTTCTTTATTCATTCATCAGTTGACGGACGCATGCCATTTTCACTTATTTGCTGTTGTGGATAGTGTTACAGTAAACATGGCCATGCCGATGTCTCTCCAATATATTGATTTTATTTTCTTTAGATAAATATATGGTAGTTGGACTACTGGTTATGATGGTAGATCTATTTCAATTTTAGTATTTTGGTTACTTTTTTCCATAAGGACTATCCTCTTTTATATCCCACCAACACTGCAAAAGTCTACTCTTTTCCATATCCTGGCCAATACGTGTTACTTTTAATCTTTGTGGTAGTAATCACCTGTACTTAAGTGAGATGAAATTTTATTTTGGTTTACATTGCCCTGATAATTAATGTTGTTGAGTATTTAAAAAAAATATCTGTTGGCTACTGGTGTGTCTTTTTTTTGAGAAATGTTTCTTTAGGTCTATTGAACATTTTAAAATTAGATTATTTATTTTTGTTTTGCTTTTGATTATTTGGAGTTACTTATTTATTCCAAATATTAACCTTTTGTCAGACATGTGGTTTGCAAACATTTTCTCCCATTCTGTGGGTTATCTCTTCACTTTGATCATTGTTTCTTTTGCTGTTAAGAAGCTTTAGTTTGATATAATCTGACTCTATGTTTGCTTTTGTTTCCTGTGCTTTGGGATCTTGTCCAAAAAATCCTTGCCTATTTCAATAATCTGAAGCATTTCTGCTGTTTTCTTCTCATAGTTTCATACTTTCAGTTCTTATATCCAAGTTTTAATTTATTTTGAGTTGATTTTTTTTTTTGTAATTGGTGAGATATAGGATATAGTTTCATTCTTCTGCATGTGGATGTCCAACTTTCTGGATACCACGTGTTAAAATGTTCTTTCACTAATACATATTCTTAGCACCTTTGTTGGGAATCAGCTCTGTAGCATGAGTTTAATTCTCTACTATATTCTTTTTCTCTCTTCTGTATATCTGTTTTATTTCTGTGACACACTGTTTTAATTACTATATTTTCATAGAATGTTTAAAGTCAGGTAATGCAATACCTCCTGTTCAATTTTTTTTGTGAAGGTTATTTTGGCTACTTGAGATTTCTTTGTGTGTGTGTGTGTGTGTGTGTGTGTGTGTGTG